TGGGGTGCGGGATGGGGTCAGGGAGGGAGGAGAGGGGGAATGGAGGGGATGGGAGAGCTGCGGGGCTTGCATGGTGCGAGCCCAGGAGGGGATGGGAGGGAGAAGATCCCCCAGGGCTGAGGGAGGGAGAAGATGCCAAGGCTGAGGTGGGTGTGGAGAGGAGGAGAAGACCCCCCAGGGCTGAGGTGGATGGGAAGGAGACCCTCAGGACTGAGGTGGATATGGAGAGGAGAAGACCCTCAGGGTTGAGGTGGGTGTGGAGATGATATGCCCCCAGGGCTGAGGTAGGTGTGGAGAGGAGGAGTGAAGACCCCCCCCAAGAGTTGAGGTGGATGTGGAGGGAGGAGACCCCCAGGGTTGAGGTGGATGTGAAAGGAGGAGACCCATGGGGTGAAGTGGATGTGGAGAGGAGAAGACCTCCAGGGCTGAGATGGATGTGGAGACAGGAGACCCCCAGGGCTGAGGTGGATATGAAAGGAGGTGACCCCCAGGGTTGAGGTGGGTGTGGAGACAGGAGACCCCAGGGCTGAGGTGGATGTGAGGGGCAGGAGGAGCTGTTGCCATGCGGGTTGGGATTTGGGGAGGGGTCAGTGCCCACCTCTCAGGACCCCCCAGCACCCTGGGGTTGTGCTGGTGGGTTGAATTAACCCCAGGTGTGTCTGCAGCAGGGACTGTCCCTGGGGGCTGGAGCTGAACGTGGCAAATGGCTGCGAAGGTGTTTGAAGGCCTCGGGAAGCTTGGCCTGGGCTTGGCTGTGGCAGGTGGAGTTGTCAACTCTGCTCTCTACAATGGTGAGTGGCAGAGGCTGTATTTGGTCTGTGTATTGGGTCAGTATCTTCACTTCCCTGTGCTTTTATTGCTGAAGACACATCATTCCCATGGAGAAGGTTCTGGAGCTGTGCAGATCTCCTGCAGCCAAAGTCTTTACCTCTCCAGACACACCATTCCCACAGAGAGGGTTTGGGAGCTGTTGGTTTTAAAGGTTTTGGAGGGTGTGGAATCTCCCTCTCTGGTGACATTCCAAACCCACCTGTGTCACCTGCTCCAGGTGGCCCTGCCTTGGCATGGGAGTTGGACTGGATGATCTCCTGAGGTCTCCTGTAGCCAAAGGCTTTACCTCTCCATTCACACCATTCCCATGGAGGTTGTGGAGCTCCTGCAGCCAAAGTCTTTACCTCTCCACACACCATTCCCATGGAGAAAGTGTTGGAGCTCCTGCAGCCAAAGGCTTTCCCTCTCCATTCCCACCACTTCCATGGAGAAGGTTCTGGAGTTCCTGCAGCCAAAGGCTTTCCCTCTCCATTCACACCATTCCCATGGAGGTTTTGGAGCTCCTGCAGCCAACCTCTCCACACACCACTCCCATGGAGAAGGTTCTGGAGTTCCTGCAGCCAAAGGCTTTCCCTCTGCACTCACACCATTCCCATGGAGGTTCTGGAGCTCCTGCAGCCAAAGGCTTTCCCTCTCCATTCACACCATTCCCATGGAGGTTTTGGAGCTCCTGCAGCCAACCTCTCCACACACCACTCCCATGGAGAAGGTTCTGGAGTTCCTGCAGCCAAAGGCTTTCCCTCTCCATTCACACCATTCCCATGGAGGTTTTGGAGCTCCTGCAGCCAACCTCTCCACACACCACTCCCATGGAGAAGGTTCTGGAGTTCCTGCAGCCAAAGGCTTTCCCTCTGCACTCACACCATTCCCATGGAGGTTCTGGAGCTCCTGCAGCCAACCTCTCCACACACCATTCCCATGGAGAAGGTTCTGGAGCTCCTGCAGCCAAAGGGCTTTACTTCTCCACACACAATTCCCATGGAGGTTTTGGAGCTCCTGTAGCCAAAGGCTTTCCCTCTCCATTCACACCATTCCCATGGAGAAAGTGTTGGAGCTCCTACAGCCAGAGGCTTTCCCTCTCCATTCCCACCACTCCCGTGGAGCAGGTTCTGGAGCTGTGCCACCCCCACGTGTGGCAGCAGTGGATCCCCTGACGTGTTGTTTCCCTCTGCAGTTGATGCAGGACACAGAGCTGTGATCTTTGACCGGTTCCGTGGGGTGCAGGACGTGGTGGTGGGGGAAGGCACCCACTTCCTCATCCCCTGGGTGCAGAAACCCATCATCTTCGACTGCCGCTCCCGGCCCCGCAACGTCCCCGTCATCACCGGCAGCAAGGGTGAGTGTGCAGGGGGCAAACTGCTGCTCCTAGGCTTCAGCTTTCCCTGCTGCATGTGCAGATGTGGCCCTAAAGCCATGCCTAAACCACAAGAAGCTCTACCTCAACATGAGAAGAAGTCTCCATGAGGTGGCAGAGTGCTGGGACAAATGCCCAGGGAAGGCGTGGAGTTTCTCTCTCTCTCTCTGGTGACATTCCAAACCCACCTCTGTCACCTGCTCCAGGTGACCCTGCCTGGGCAAAGGGGTTGGACTTGATCTGCAGAGGTTCCTTCCAGCCCTAACTGTTCTGGGATTTTTTGGAGAGCCCACGTGTCCCAGTTTGGCACAGAGTCAGGAATGGGTTTATCTGTGTCTTGAGTTACAAGACAGGTTAAAGGACTCTTCCTTTGGTTCTGTAAATCCCAGAATCCTGGAGTAACTGGGATTGGAAGGGAGCTCTGGAGATCATCCAGTCCAAACCCCCTGCCCAGTCAGGTGATAGAGGTGTGTTTGGAATGTCTCCAGAGAGGGAGATTCCATGCTCTCCTTGGGTACCTGTCCCAGGGCTCTGCCACCCTCCATGGAAAGCTTCTCCTCAGGTTGAGGTGGGAATTGTGGTTTGGTTTATGGACATGGCTCCTTGTCCTGTCTGTGGGCACCACTGGGCAGAGTCTGGCACCATCCTGACACCCCTTGGAGATACCTATATATGGGAATGATCAGTTTATCGTAAAGTCTCTGTACAGCAGGGCAGCTAATTCCCTGCATCCCAAACAAACTGAGGCTTAGATTTTACCTGTGAGGAGGATTTGGATCCCAAGGTGAAAGGGGAGTAAAAATAACTCATTTCCTGGCAAAAAGAAGCCTGAGGGTTAGATCTTCCTCATGCAGTGGCCCTGGAGAGGACAAGGCTCAGTCACTAACCTCCTGACTCTCTCCAGACCTCCAGAACGTGAACATCACATTGAGGATCCTGTTCAGACCAGTCACTGCTCAGTTGCCAAGGATCTTCACCAGTATTGGAGAGGACTATGATGAGCGTGTGCTGCCCTCAATCACTACTGAGATCCTCAAGTCTGTTGTGGTAAGGACAGTCTGAGACCTGCTGGGCAGTGAGGGACCTGCTGGAGTGTGGAATACCTTGGAATAATGGAATCACAGAATGGGTTGGGTTGGCAAGACCTTAAAACTCATCCAGTTCCAGTGGGCAGGGACACCTTCCACTAGCCCAGGTTGCTCCAAGTCCCATCCAACCTGGCCTGGAACACTCCCAGGGATGGAACAGCCACAGCCTCTCAGGGCAACCTGTGCTGGAGCCTCAGCACCTCACAGGGAACAATTCCTTCCAATATCCAACCTAAACCTCCTCTCTGTCTGTTGGATAAGACTTCTCCTTACACCCCAAGGCTCTCATGGGCCACCCAGAAAAGCTAATTGCAGCTATGCTAATTGTTCCTCAGTCATTCCAACTGCTTGGCCAAGATTCATGTTGTATGATCTCTGAATGGAAAGAGGTTCCTTCATTACCTGCTCTCAGCTGTTAGCTCTGCTCTTCCAGCTGGGAGTCACCAGCAGGAGATTGGGATATTTCTCATGGGATATTTCTCATGTAATCCTAGATTTCAGCTGCTTTCTCTCAGATGTCTGGGCAGCTCTGTGTTTGCCTTGGGAGAACTCCAGGACTCGTGGGTACAAAGACAGGCAGGGCATGGAGAACCTTTTCCTTCTGGAAGCTTTCACAGAATCTCTGAGGTTGGAAAAGGCCTCCAAGACCATCAAGTCCAACCTGTGATCCATCACCACCTTAGACAAGTGCACTGAGTGCCACATCCAGGGCTGGTGACTCCACCACCTCCCTGAGCAGCACAGTCCAATGTTCAACAACCCTTTCCATGAAGAAATTCCTCCTGATGTCCAACCTGAGCCTCCCCTGGTGCTGCTTGAGGCTGTGTCCTCTTGTCCTTTCTCCTTAGTGTTGTCCCTCCCAATTCCAGGCTCGTTTTGATGCTGGAGAACTGATCACCCAGAGGGAACTAGTCTCAAGGCAAGTGAGTGAAGACCTCACAGAGAGAGCAGCAACATTTGGGCTCATCCTGGATGATGTGTCCTTGGTAAGAGTTCTCCCTTTTCCTTTTCCCTCTTCGGAGTGTGCCCAGATAAAAGCAGTGGAGAGGAGAATAGTGGGCTGGAAGTTTGGACACATGAACTAGGTGTGTCAGTCTGCATTTGGTCACAGCTCCTGGCAGCACCTCTGGTTTTGTCACTGTGACCTTGAGCAGCCCTTGGAGGCTCTTGGATTTCCCTGGATCAGGGTTTTGGAGTTCAAATGAAGAGCAGATCCTTCTGTGGGTGATGGATTGGGCTGCACATGGCTTTGTGTTGGGAAGCTGTTCCACAGACACCTGAGGAAGTGTTGGGCATGAGGAGGGAGTGAAAATAGCCCCTTGGATGGCAGCTTTAGGTTTTCTCCTGATTCTCCTCTTCTAAGACTATCCAAGGAGGGAGCTCTGCCCTCCCATCTCCCTTTAGGAATTAAATCTATCCCTTTTGGAAATGAAATGTGTTGTAATCTGCCTTGTCCACTCTTATTCTGTTTAGAGAAAAGGGACACACAGGAAGTCTTTGCAGGAAAGTGACTTTGTTTCTGCAATGAGTTTTGACACTTTGCTGCTTTCCTCCAAGCACATTCCTGAAGGGAATTGAGCTTTCCCCTGTCCCATCCGTGTCACTTTCAGCAGCTGTCCATGCAGCCCAAGCTGAGCACACCAGGCTCAGGATGGTGGTGAATGGAGGATATTTGGCCTTCCACACAAGGATTGGGAGGGACATTGGCTTTCCCTCTCTATCCCAGTGCCACTGCACAGGCAGGGGCACAGCAGAGCTGCTATGAGCTGTCACAGTTGTGAGCTTGGCTTGATTTGTGCCCTGCAGACCCACCTGACCTTTGGCAAGGAGTTCACAGAGGCAGTAGAGATGAAGCAAGTGGCCCAGCAAGAAGCAGAGAGAGCCAGATTCATCGTGGAAAAGGTACCCTGTCCTCCTGAGAAACCTGGAATTGCTTCCTGGTATCTCCCTCCTGCTGTCGCTCGCAGAGAACATCTCACTACAGCTACACCCCAAATTCATCCTGTGGATGCAGTAGGATTCCTGTAATCAGCCAGGATGATTAACAGTTGATCTGACCTGGTTTTAACTCTCTTGGTGAAGTTCTCCAATCTTTCCTAGACAATTTTCCACCAGGAGTGCCCTTGAGTGGGTTAATGTTTCATGAGGTTAAGACTAAGGTTGAAAATCATCTTGAAATTGCCTTTTTTTTTTTTTCTCTCCACAGCAGGCAGAAAAACAGCTTAAAATAAAATCAGAGTATGTTAAGGGGTTGGAATGGACCTTGAAGGTCTTGTCCCAACCCCTGCCCTGGGCAGGGACATCTCCCACCAGAGCAGGTTGCTCAAAGTTTTATCCAACCTGGAATGAACATTGCCAGGGTTGGGGCAGCCACAGCCTCCCTGGGCAACCTGTGCCAGTGTCTCACCACCCTCACAGGGAAAGCTTCTTCCTAATATCTAACCTAAATTTCCCTCTTTCAGTATATCCCCACTGCTCCTTGTCCTGTCGCTGCAGTGCTAAGTGTCTTCATAAAATCACCTTTTATCTTGACCCTGACTGAGGAAAAGGACAAGAGGGTGTGAAGTGAACTGAGATTTTAAACAAATTCCTTAGACTCATGGAATCCTCAGAGTTGGAGGAGATCCCTAAGATCATTGAGTCCAACCATTACCCTGTCACTCCTGGAATCTTTAAACCCTAAACCAGATCCTCCAGTGTCAGATCTAGACACATCACAAACACCTCCAGGGATGGGGAGTCCACCACCTCCCTGGGCAATATTCCAGTGCCTGAACACCCTCACAGGGAAAACATTATTCCTAATATCTGACTCTGCCCTGGCTCAGCTCAAGGCCATTCCCTCTATCCTCTCCCTGCAGCCATGGCAGGAGAGGCATTTCCCACCTCTCTCCAACCCTGTCAGGGAGTTGGAGAGAGCCAGGAGGTCACTCTGAGCCTCTTCTCAAGGCTGAACAAACCCAACTCCCTCAGCCCTTCCCTACGTGCTCTAGACCCTTCATGAGCCTCATTTTCCTTCTCTGAACACTCTGCAGTGCCTCAATGGCCTTTGGGCAGTGAGTGCCCAAAGCTGAGCACAGCACTGAGGTGTGACCTCCCCAGTGCCCAGTCCAGGATGATGATCACTGCCCTAGTCCTGCTCGAGCCAGGCCGAGACGCTGTTCGCTTTGTCTCGTGGGTGATTTCCCATTCTTCCCCTGTTCCCTTGCAGGCTGAGCAGCAGAAGAAGGCAGCAGTGATCTCTGCTGAGGGGGACTCGAAGGCAGCAGAGCTGATAGCCAACTCCCTGGCCACGGCAGGGGATGGGCTGATCGAGCTGCGCAAGCTGGAGGCGGCCGAGGACATCGCGTACCAACTGTCGCGCTCCCGCAACATCACCTACCTGCCCGCGGGACAGTCTGTGCTCCTGCAGCTGCCACAGTGAGCCTGCACCCACAGCCAGAGCTAGCCTGGTCACCTCTACCTTCCAGCTCAGCCCTTTCCAAAGCAAATCATTGCGGTTTCATGCTGGGTAAAAACAGAGGGAATGGAAATTGGAACCCGTTCTGGAATTGTTAATCAAATAAAGGTGAACGCTGGTGACAGCAGCCCTGCATTCCTCCCATGTGCAGTCACAGCAGTGGCCACAAGAGATTTGAGAATTGCCCCTTGCCAGGCAGTTAGAGCAACAGGAGCAGAGTGTTCGGCTGCTCACTCCTGGGAAGCACAGGTAGCCCAGGTGAGTCCCTGAGTGCTGCATCAATCAGGTCTCACAGCTGCTTCAGTGCCTTCAGGCTGGCTGAGCCAAGGTCACTACAAACCTTGTGGATCAGGGATGCTCAGGGCTCACCCCTCAGTCAAGCCAGTCTTTTAGCAGGTGTCACCTGAGGGCAGGAGGACACCTCAGCTTAGGGCAGTGGCTCTGCTGTGCCTGTGTGAGCCACAGCACTGGTAGCTGGAGGCACAGGTCGAGTGCTGAGGGTGAGAAGGGTAGAGATTGACTCTAGTAGATGGATTTCAGGCACACAGGAGAAGTTCCTCTGCAGGAAATAACTTCTCCTGTCCATGCTGGAATGGGAGATCTCCACTTCCTCCTGTTGCTGCACACTGATCTGTTACTCCTGCCTTGGGTTCCTCTCCAAGGTCAGTTCCTGCTGCAGCCTAGAGGGATGACTTGGTGCTCCGTGGCTCAGGCAGTTGGAGGTGGGCAGAATTCTCTGTTACATCAATGCTCTTTTTATTTAGAGAAGCTGAATTGTGAGGAGGATGTGATGGGTGAGATTGTATAACCAGCCTTCAATAAATGTCACAGTCCCAAGGGTGGCAGCGTGGGTTGTTGCTTTTTCTGTTTGATGTCTCAGAAGAATGAAGGTTGGGTCAGTGGAGCAACACCTCCTGCTTGTGCTAGATTATCTGGATAAAAGTCACTTGGCACAGGCAAATAGGTCTTCATCTTGACAACTTAAGAGCTTGAAACACGAGTCTTAGGCTGAATTACTGCAACAAGGTAAGGCTGAGAGTGTCTTGTTCTTGTGAAAGCTTTTACCTGCTTTCCCTGCAAGGTTCAGGCTGTTGTTTACTGCATGTACATACATTTTCCAGGCTGTTCTTTTGATGGAACATTTCTGTTGGAAAGAAAACAGGGGTGTGTTGTACCAGAGACAGCCTAGAGTGAACTTCAGACCTGGCAGCAGCTGTGAGGAGGCTCAGCCCCAGCCTGGCACCCTCCTGCAGACATTCCCACAGTGTCTGATCCCTCAGCAGCAGCCTCAGGTGGGTGTCCCTGCTCCCTCAGGGAGCTGCTGTGGGTGGTGGGTTCATTCCATCCTGTACAGCCCCTCAGAGCTGCTGTCCTCACCTCTGCTGATGTGGAAAACCTTTCCAGCTTTTTCTGCTGGGCAGGGAATGCTCCTGCAGTGATGAGGTGTCTGAGCTTGCAAAATATTTTAGGCAGCTGAGCAGTCAGGGACATAACTCCCAAATAACTTCCAGACCTTCTCCCCCTCTGGTGCTCTTGTGCTTTATTCCTCTGGTTTACTGCTTCAGACACTTCTAGGGAAGCTTCCACTTTGCTCCCAAGGCTCCTTTTAAAGCCCTTCAGTGTTTCCTGCATTTCCCTCTCTTTGGTCCACACACAGGTGTTGGGCTCCAAACAAGTGTGGCTCAAATCCCTCCTCAGCTTCTGTGGCTCTGTGTTACCTCTCCCTCCAGTTCTGCATTTTCAGTGGAGTGTGGAGTGTTTCCTGCTGCTTTTGCCCTTGGCCTCTCTGGAGGAGGTGTCTGAGGCTCTAACCGTGGCCCCTGGGGCTGATTAATCACCATTTCCTTTGCTTTTTGGGTGTAATTCCTTGTACAAATATTCCCTGGCTGTTAACTGCTCCTTTACCCTCACTTCATGCCTGAAGCTGCTGTGAACTCATCACACTCCTGAGCTGCTCCTGAAGCTGTTTGGTGTGTGTGAGCTGAACTCTTTGTTTATATTGTGTTTATAGCTGCTCTGTGTGGACTACAAAGAGATCTGGATCCAGATGGGAATCACAGAGTATCCTGAGTGGGAAGGGACCCACTCACCAGTCCAACTCCTGCACAGGACATCCCAACAATCCCTGGGAGCACTGGCCAAACACTCCCTGAGCTGTCAGGCTTGGGAGCTGTTCAGTGCCCAAACACCTCTGGGGGGAGAAACTTCTCCTAATATCCAACCTAAGCCTCCCATTGTATGGTGTTGAAGGGAATGGTGACCTAACTCAGGTTTGTGAGGACTGCACAGGGATAGTGGGTGAGGAAAGAACCTTCTGCTGCCCAAGGGATGCTGCTCTGGGAGCACTGCCTGACATCCCCTTCCCATTTTCCACCTGGTCTCTAGGTGACCCTGCCTTTGGCAGGTGGTTTGGACTAGATGATCTCCAGAGGTCCTTTCCAACCCCAGCCGTCCAGGGATTTTCCAACAGCTTATCCCGTTCAGCACCAAAGTCTGAGGGCTGGAGGTGTTCTGTGGGTGAGTGATGGAGGCTGCTCCCCGTGACAGGCTGTGTTAGCTGGGAAGGATGTGGTCCTTCCTTCCTTTTTCCAGAGGTTCCTTTTCCAGAGGTCACCTTCCCAGAGGTCAGACAAACGGGAGCAGCAGGGCCAGGCCATTCCCCACCAGGTGGCAGCAGCAATTCTGTGTGGGAAGAGGAACACCAAAAGTGTCCCTCAACCTACCCAGGCCAGAGGACACCAGGAGAGGACGTGGCCAAGGTGAGGAAGGAAAAGCAGCAGAGCTGACCCATGGGCAGTGTCACTCGGGCACGCAGGGATGAGGGTTTAGTCCCTGGGCCAGGTAAACATCTGATGTCCATTCCACTCTGAGCATCTCTAGCTCCAGATTTTAACTCCTCTAGCCTAAGGCAGCACATGGAAAGTGCAAATTCCTGTTTTCCTCCCTAACCCTGTTCCCAGGGTGGCTCAGCTCTGCAGCCCTTTGAGCATTCCTCCTTTCCCACCTGCCCAAAACCATCCCTAGTTTATTTGACTACTCCAAGATGCACAGGAACAGCAGAAACACCTCGGGTTAGGGTAAGGCTTCAGAGGTGTGAGTTGGTTCTGCTCCATGTTAGAAAACAGCACTAAGTTTTTGGGTCCAGAATGTTACTGTAATGAGTTCATGTTGGAGAGCCTAAAAGTTTGGCAGTTTTTAATTTGAAGCTCTCTAGTTCTGTGGCTTCACTGATTAATGACAGCACAGACTGACTTATTCCTTCCTGGGAGACTAATCTTTCCTTCTTCCTCTCATGCTGTTGGAGAGAGCTGGACTTAGCCCACTGGCAACACTCTGAGCAGCCCAACAAGCTTTTGTTCACCATTCAAACAGGAAACTGCCTGATTTCCTCTGTGTGTTCACACACTCTCTCCCTCTCCAGAGCTTGTTCTTTCCCTGTTTCCTAGATAACCTGCCTACCTGCCTTGTGGAGAGGACATGGAAAGCACCACCTGGACAGGGATAGTTGTGATTTGAGCTTGGTGTGCACTGGGACAGGCACCTGTTCCCTGCCAGGCTGAAGCCTCCCCAGGTGAGGGAGGTCCCCAAATCTGTGATGCTTTGTGCCCTGCAGCAAACTGGCAGCACCTCTGAAGGGGTTAGAGCAAGGGATAGGGAGGAGTTTCCTTATTGCTTCCTCTGTGCTGTTTATATCCAAGCGGATCCAGCAGAAAATGCCTCTGTCCTGAAAAACAAAGGGTGTGGGGGGAGGAAGCACTTGGGGACGGGAGTAGGAAAGATTGGCCCAAGTCAGGCTGGAGCTCAGCTCAGCTGGGAGATGGGGAGCAAACCTTAGGGCCAAATTTGGATTCATTATTCCTTGCCTGGCACTGGGGCTGAGACATTCCTCGTGTGCCTGTTTTCCATCAGCACAACTGAGCTGAGCTCACTCCAGCACATCCTGCTGGACTCACACCAGTGTGAGGCTCAGAGGTTGGTCAGGTGCACTCAGGGAGAACTCAATGCTTTGTGCTTTGCTATTGGGAAAAAAATCTTTACTTAGGAAGGAATTCCTCCCTGTGAGGTTCTTTACCTGGGAAGGAATTCCTCCCTGTGAGGTGCTGAGGCACTGGCACAGGTTGCCCAGAGAAGCTGTGGCTGCTCCATCCAGGCCAGGTTGGATGGGGTTTGGAGCAGCCTGGGCTGGTGGAAGGTGTCCCTGCCCATGGCAGATGGTGGGACTGGATCTTTAAGGTCCTTCCAACCCAAACCAGTCCATGACTGGTGAAGCAGGAGAGGATTGCACAGGGTACTGGAGCCAGTGGGTGAAGAACAAACCTTCAGAGAAACAGAGAAGCCTCTGATGTCATTCCAAAATACAGTGGATACTTCTTTTAACCACCTGCCCACCTAGAATCTTGCTGGGTTCACCTTCTCCATCTACAGAAAGCAATAAAACCCCAATCCACAGGGAAAGGACCTGGTGGAACAGCCATCCAGATGCTGCTGAACACATCCCCAGAAGGGAGAGGAAAAACTGCTGCTGTGAAAACAGCATTTGAGGTTCTTCTCCACACTGGATCTGCCAAGATGCTGATCTGGACTGAAACTGAGACCTGCAGGGAGTTATCCCTGAGCTCTGACAAGCCAAAGCTGGGCAGGATCATGGAAAACTGTCCCAAAGTGAGCTGCAGGAGAAGATGCCAGTTGCAAGATGTGTTTGTGTCCCTCATGCTGGCAGGGACAGGAGGAGACTGGGAAAGGTGCCTGCAGGATGCCCCTGAAGCCTCCAGAAGAGCAGGAAGGAAGCAGAGGTGAGTCTGGACAAGGTGAGTCTATCCCAGAGACATGAATGAAATGTGATTTTCAGGGTTATGTCCCCTCTACAAAGCTGGGAATCAGCTCTGCTCCTCTGTCACTTCCAGCGTATCTCCCAAGCACAGCTTTCCACAGGAGCTGTTCAACCCCAGAGGGAAATTTCTACA